GGGGTTCAGAGCAGTCGGAACTGGGGCCCAGCACAGTCTGAGCTTTTATCTCCTTCCAGCTAGGGAACGCCAGCCAGGCATTCAGCTGCCCCTCTTCTCCAGCTCCGTCCTCTCCGTGCATGCCGTGTGTTTCCGTATCTTAGGCTTTTATAGCTCCTCCACTCTTCCTTCTGGTTTTCTCCTTGCTTCTCGTTGTAGAATTTCTAGTCAGTCAACTTTCCTATAGTTCTGGGTAATGTCCATTTTATATTTTAGTTGTATTTTATTGAAATAGTTGTGTGTGGCTGCGGCTAGGTGTTTACCTGTGCAGCCATCTTGGATTCTCATCCTTTTTCTTATTTTAGGTCTATCTGCTTTCTTCTGGATTTTCTTTTCAATTTTTTCCCCCTATCTTTTCTCCGTCCTTTATTTTAAACCATTGTCCTTTCCCTAGTCCTCTGATTTTTTCTTCTTCTTAATTTCATCTATGCATCTACATATTTTGCCCCACCTCTCTATCTTACTATTTCTGGTTTATGCTTTTTTTGGTCTGTTTTGTTTTCTCACTGTATCTTCCTTTATTTTTTCTATCATTCTTGCTCTCTTTTCTCTTTCCTAATTCTCTCTTTTCTGGTGGTTGCTTTTGTTAGTGCTATAGAGGTCTTGTGTATATTCTTTTTTGTTTATTCTGTTTCATGTTTTGTATTTTATTTTGTTCATCAACACCTCTACAACATTTCTCATGATATGGTTGGGTGAGCCACATGGTCACCCAGTCTGAGAGAAGACTCCATCCATGAATGGGACAATAACATTCAAGACCCAGCTATAACAGGAGAACCCAAATAATTCAAGTAAGGGCCTTTCCTAGAGCACCCAGCTCAGGCAATATAAGGGACTGCACCAGTGGGTCCCACAAAACACCTACTATATATGACTAACCCCCAAAATCTGGGAGGCATGGTAGTTTAATCTACTACATAGAAATAAATATAAAAGAACAGAAAAAATGGGGAGACAACCCCTGAATGAAAGAAAAGGAGGAATCACCATAAAAGGAATTAAATGAAATGGAGGCAAGCAATTTGTCAGATAAAGAATACAGAATAATGTTAATAAGGTTGCTCAGACAATTCAATGAGAACTACAAGCAACTTAATGAGAATTAAAAGGAAATTAATGAGAATACTAAGGGACTTAATGAGAGCTACACCAACTTGAAAAGATAGGTTGAAAGAATAAATAAGAATCAACTGGGAATAAGGAACAACATAGATGAAATAAAAAAACACCCTAGATGGATACAGCAGTAGACTAGAAGAAGCTGAGAACCAAATAAGTGAATTAGAAGACAAGGTATAAAAACATTCATTCAGATAAGAAAATGGAAAAATAAAAACAGGAGAAGAATTTAATGGAGCTTTGGGACAACATAAAATAAAACATTTGCATCAAATAGGTATCAGAAGGAGGAGAATCCAAGAAATGAAGAGAGAACCTGTTTGGAGAAATAATGGCAGAAAATTCCCCTAACATGTTGAAGGAAAAAGTCACTCAAGTCCAGAAAATAGATTCCCAGCCAAGATGAACCCTGAAAGATGCTAGACACTTATGAATTAAAATAGCAAATATTAAAGACAAAGAAAGCAAAAGGCTGTAAGAGAGAAACAAATTACCTACATGGGAGCTCCTATTAGACTATCAGATAACTTCTCAATAGAAACACATCAGGCTAGAAGGAAATGGCATGAAGTATACAAGGTAATGAAAAACAAAAGACTGAACCCAGGACTACTTTATCCAGCAAGGTATAATTCAAAATTGAAAGTGAAATAAAGAGATTTTCAGACAAAAAGGCTAAAAGAATATATTACCACCAAGCCAACACAGTAAGAAATGTTAAAGGGACAATTGTAAGAAGAAAAAGAAAGAGAAGACGGGTATAAAGAGTAAGGATGGAAATAAGTACCTATCCTATATAAGAAAGGCAGAATATGCAAATTGACCATAACTCTATGACAAAGAAGGTGCCCACAGGTTTTTCAAGATTTTCCTAGAAAAGATGGATAAGACCTATGAGGATATGAAAAGGGATCAACTAGAATTAATAAGGAATCAACAAGAAATGATAAGGGATCAACAAGAAATGATAAGGGATCAACAAGAAATGATAAGGAATCAACAAGAAATAAAGAACACATTGTCTGGGGGGGGGGGGGGGGAAATATTATACAGAGTCCTAAAAACAGAATGGAAGATCGCAAGAATCAAGTAAAAAAGTTGGAACATAAAGAGCCAGAAGATACTCCTCTGCAGAAGCTAGAAGGCAAGAGAATCCAGAAAATTGAAGATAATGTAAGAAACCTCTGGGACAACTTCAAGCGAACCAACATCAGAATTATGGGGGTCCCAGAAGATGAGAGAGAGCAAGATATCAAAAACATACTGAAAGAAATAGTGACAGAAAACTTCCCCCACCTGGTGAAAGAATTAGACCTACAAGTCCAGGAAGCGCACAGAACTCCAAACAAAAGGAATCCAAAAAAGACCACACCAAGACACATCATAATTAAAATCCCAAGAGCAAGAGACAAAGAGAGAATATTAAAAGCAGCAAGAGCAAAGCAGGTAGTTACCTATAAAGGAGCACCTATACGATTGTCAGCTGATTTCTTAACAGAAACCATGCAGGCCAGATGGGAATGGCAAGAAATATTCAAGGTGATGAATAGTAAGAACCTACAGCCAAAGATAATCTATCCAGCAAAGCTATCACTCAGAATCGAAGGTCAGATAAAGCGCTTCACTAATTAAAAAAAGGCTAAAGGAGTTCATCAACACCAAACCAGAATTATATGAATTGCTGAAGGGAGTTCTTTCAGAAGAGAAAGTAAATAAAGATAAAAATTATGAACAACAAATACGTAACTATCAACAAGTGAATCTAAAAACCAAGGGAATTAAAAAAAAATCTGATGAACAGTATTAACTGTTGAATATAATAGAATCAAAGGTGAACTGACGATTCTTGGGGAAAAGGGGAGAAGGGGAGGTGGGAAGAGACTGAACATAAACTGTGCACCTATGGATGAGGACAATGGGGGGTGGGGAAAGGGCAGAGGGTGGGGTGGGAACCTGGTGGAGGAGAGGGGAAGAAACATTTGTAATAATATGAACAATAAAAATTTATTTTAAAAAAAAAAGGGAATATGCAAATTGATGTGACAATGGGAGAGGTAGAAAGGCAGCTTAAGCCGGAGTGAAGGTGGTTCAGGCAGCCAGGAGAAGGAAGGCCTATTTTTTGCATGAAAATTTGTGAATTGGGCCTTTAGTCAATAATAAACTCTATAATAAAGTGCCAGGGTGTAACACCATTATGACCGAAGCTCAACCAGACCGAAGTCAGTGCTGGGTTGTCGTGGCAACCCAGTGCTGACTGCTTCTGCTGCAAGCATGGTGCCCCAGCACTGACTGCTGAGGGGGCTGCAAATCGGCCAGAGAGAGGCCTGAAGCAAGGACTGATCTGTTGCCTCTGTGGCAGCTTTTGACCAACATTTGCCTCTCTCTCACTTTCCCATTCTGGCCAGCAGCCACACCTCCATTTCTCTCTAGGACTCTACTGGAGAGAGGATGATCAGTCCCGCTTTTCTGATCAAGCCCCATTGATAGGCCGACAGATGCTGACTGGCATAGAAACTGACCAATCAGAACCAAATATGGTGGCTTAGAGGTGTTTCTGTCCAGGGAGAGCAGGCGATCCCGAGGCCGGCTCCAGCAATGGCCTTCACAAATATATAGAAAGCGTTCATCAGTGACAGATTGGACCCTTGCTGCCAGAAGATCCTGCAAGAGGGAGGGCTGCAGGTGGTGGAGAAACAGAACCTGAGCAAAGTGGAGCTGATAGCCGAGCTGCAGGACTGCGAAGGCCTTATTCTCTGCTCGGCCACCAAGGTGATCACGGATGTCATCAACGCAGCAGAGAAGCTCCAGGTGGTGGGCAGGGCCGTCACCGGTGTGGACAACATGGATCTGGAGGTCGCCATGAGGAAAGGTATCCTGGTCATGAACACTGCCAATGGGAACAGTCTTAGTGCTGTGGAGCTCACCTGTGGGATGATGATGTGTCTGGCCAGGCAGATTCCCCAGGCAACGGCTTCGATGAAGGTTGGCAAATGGGACCAAAAGAAGTTCATGGGAACCGTTGAATGGAAAGACCCTGGGAATTCTTGGCCTGGGGAGGATCAGGAGGGAGGTGGCCATCCAGATGCAGTCCTTCGGGATGAAGACTATAGGGTACCCCATCATCTCACCAGAGGTCTCGGTCTCCTTCAGCATTTAGCAGCTGCCCTGAAGGAGATCTGGCCCTCTGTGACTTCATCACTGTGCATACCTCTCCCTTCCCCTCCACAACAGGCCTGCTGAACAACAGCACCTTTGCCCTGTGCAAGAAGAGCATGTGCATAGTGAACTGTGCCCGTGAAAGGATAGTGAACGAGGGTGCTCTGCTCCAAGCCCTGCATTCGGGGAAGTGAACGGGAACAGCGCTGGACGTGTTCACAGAGGAGCTGCCTCGGGACAGCACCTTGATGGACCATAAGAACATCATCAACTGCCCCCACCGAGGAGGCCAGAGCTACTGTGAGGAGGATTTCGCTGTCCAGTTCATGGACATGGTGAGGGGGAGAGCCCTTGTGGGGGTTGTGAATGCCCAGGCCCGTAACAGAGCCTTCTCTCCAAACACCAAACCTTCAATCGTTCTGGCAGATCCTCTGGGGACTTTGATGAGAGTCTGGGCAAGGTCCCCCAAAGGGACCATCCACGTGGTAATTCTTCAGTTCCCTGAAGAATGCTGGAAACTCTGAGTCCCACTGTCATTGTGGCCTCCCGAAAGATGCTTCTAATCATGTGGATGTGAACTTGGTGAATGCCAGCTGCTGGTGAAGGAGGCAGGCCTCAATGTAACCACTTCCCATAATCTCACTGTGCCAGGAAAGCAAGGGTGCGGGGAAGGCCTCCTGAGTATGGCCCTCGCAGGTGCCCCCTCCCATGCTGTGGGCTGTGTCCAGGGTACCACACTTGTGCTGCAGGCATTCAATGGAGCTGCCTTCAGACCAGAAGTGGTCTGCAGGGGTCTGCCCCTGCTCCTCTTCCAGGCCCAGCCCTCCAACCCTGTCATGCTGCTTGCCATGATTGGGCTCCTGGCAGAGGCAGGCGTGCAGCTGCTATCCTACCAAACCTCGGTGGTGTCCAATGGGGAGACCTGGCATGTTATGGGCATCACCTCCCTGCTGCTCAGCCTGGACACCTGGAAGCAGCATGTGACCAAGGCCTTTCAGTTTCATTTCTGACCTTGGAGCTCACCAGGACCAGCCTTGGGGGCTTTGTGATCAACATTGACAGGTCACATTCCCAGGGCTGACAACCACTTATGTGGTCTGTCCCCTGAAATAACCACTTAATAAACAGCCCATCCATCCATCTCCCCCCCCCCCCCCCCAAAAAAAAAAAAAAAAAAAAGCCAAGTCTTGGTCAACTGTGAGGAGCCAATGGCTGCCTAGGAAGAGGAGCTTTTGACGCTGACTGGCATAGAAACCTACCAATCAGAATCAAGTTGACTGGCAGAGGAGGACCGTTGGGGGCAAGATCAGGACAACAGGGGAGGGCCATTGGGGGAAAGATCACGCTGGCAGGGGAGGGCAGTTGGGGGCAACCAGGCTTGCAAGGGGAGGGCACTTGGCAAGATCAGGCTGGCAGGGGAGGATAGTTGGGGGCAACCAGACAGATGAGGGAAGGCAGTTGAGGGTGAGATCAGGCTAGCTGGGGAGGGCAGTTAGGGGCAATCAGATAGGCAGGCAAGTAAGCTGTTAGAATCCAGCAGTCCCAGATTGTGGGATTGGGCCTAAATTGGCAGTCGGACATCCCCCCAAGGGGTCCTCGATTGGAGAAAGTGCAGGCTGGGCTGAGGAAACCCCCCTCTCCATGTACGAATTTCATGCACTGGGCCTTAAATATATTTCATGCACTAGTCTTAAATATAAATGGCTTAAATACTCTTCAATCAAAGGTTATGAGGTTCCTGAGTGGATAAAAAAATGACATATATATATATATATATATATATATATATATATATATATATATACACACACACACACACACTGTCCACAGAGACCAACCCCAGAATAAAGGACTCACACAGACTGAAATTGAAAGGATGGAAAAAACTATTCCAGGCAAATGGAAATGGAAAAGAAAGCTGTGGTAGCAATGCTCATCTAACCAAATATACTTCAACATAAAGACCATAAAAGAGATAATGAAGGCTACTTCATAATACTAAAGGAATCAATACACCAAGAGGATATAACTCTGGTAAACATATGTACCCAATACAGGAGCATCCAAATACATAAAAAAAAAATCTTCTGGAGAATATCAAGGGAGAGATTGACAGCAATCCTATATAATAAAGAAGGAATATGCTAATTGACATCACTCCATCACAAATATTGCTGCACCCACAGCTGAGGCCAAATTTCCATAAGGAGCCTTAAGCAATCAGCAGAGACTTGAGGCTATACCCTTCCCGCCCCTGTGGGGCTTGACAGGGGATCTCAGGCTGCGCCCTCCCACCAGGCAGGGCTTGAAAGGAGACACTCCAGGTGCACTTCCTGTCATGGTGCTGGGCTAGGGGACCTCAGACCGCACCCCCTGCCTGGCAGGGCTTGATAGGGGACATCACTAGATTGATCTTCTAGACAAAAAATTAACAAGGAAACAGCGATCCTAAACAATACACTAGCTCAAATAGAATTGACATTTTCAGAGCTTTTCATCCCAAAACTATAGAATATATATTCTTCTCAAGTGCACATGGAACATTTTCAAAAATAGACCACATGTTAGGACACAGGCCACATCTCTACAAGTTCAAAAAGATTGAAATCATATTAAGCATCGTCTCAGATCACAATGGCATGAAATGAGAAATTAATTGTAATAAAAACACTCAAAAATTCTCAACCACATGGAGGCTAAATAACATGATATTAAACAATAAACGGGTTACCAAAGAGATCAAAGAGGAAATAAAAAACATCCTGGAAACAAATGAACACACTATAACCCAAACTCTGGGACAAGTGAAAGCCATCCTGAGGGAAATTCGAAGCATTACAGGCCTATCTAAAAAAAACAAAAACAAAAACAAAAAAAAAACCCAGAATGAAAACAAAACAAAAAACTAAAAAATAAAACCAAGAAAAACTTTTAATAAGGTATCTAATTCTACAACTTAAAAAAATAGAAAGAGAACAATAAGGAAAACACGGAGTAAGTAGAAGGAAGGAAATAATAAAGATCAGACTGGGAATAAATGACATAGAGACTAAAAATATGTATAATTTATAGAAATATAAAAGATCAATAAAACCAAAAGCTGGTTCTTTCAAAAGGAAAACAAGATTGATGAACCTCCATAGACTCATCAAGGACTCATCAAGAAACAAAGAAAGAGGACTCAAACAAACTCAAACAAAATAGGTGAAACGATAACAGACCCCAGAGAAATACAAAAGATCATAAAAAGTACTATGAACAACTATATTCCAATAAATTAGGCAACCTGAGTGAAATGGACATATTCCTAGAAAAATACAATCTTTCAACAATCAGAAAGCAGAAAACCTGAATAGACTGATAACTATTGATGAGATTGAAGTAGTAATTAAACCAATAAACTTCCAGCAAACAAAAGCCCTGGTCCAGAAGGCTTCACGGGATGTTTACCAAACATTTAAAAAACTAGCACCTATCTGTTTCAAACTCTCTCAGAAAATTTAAGAGGAAGGAACACTTCCAACTTCTTTCTATGAGGCCAGAATTACCCTAATTCCAAAACCAGATAAAGACATTGCAAAGAAAATTACAGGCCAATATCTCTGATAAGCATAGATGCTAAAATCTTCAAAATTTTAGCAAATCTGATCTAGCAATATATTAGAAAGATCATATACCATGATCAATTGCAGTTTATTCTGGGATGCAAGGCTAGTACAATATTTGCAAATCAATAAATGTGATATATCACATAAACAAATAGGCAAAAATCACATGATCAGATCAATAGATGCATAAAAAGCATTCGACAAAAAGTGACACCCATTTTTTATAAAAACTCTCAGCAAAGTGGGAGTAGAGGGAGTATATGTCAACATGATAAAGGCCAGATATGACATATCTGTAGCAAACATAATCAATGGGCAAAAACTAAAACCATTTCCACTAAGAAAAGAAACAAGACAGGGATGCCCGCTTTCCTTACTCTTATTCAACATTAGAGGCCCAGTGCATGACTTTGTGCACCTTTGTCCTTCAGCCTGGCCTGTGGGATTGGGCCGAAACCAGCTCTCCAACATCCTCTGAGGGGTCCTAGATTGCAAGAGGGTGCAGGCAGGGCTGAGAGACCCCATCAGTGCACAATCAGGGCTGGGGAGGGACCATGGGAGAGCCTCAGGGCATGTTTGGCCTGTCTTGCTCAGTCCCCATTGGCTAAACTCCCAAAGCAAGCTAACCTACCAGTAGGAGTGTCTGCCCCCTGATGGTCAGTGCATGTCATAGTGACTGGTCGACCAGTCTACTGTCTGCCACCTGGTGGTCAGTGCACATCATAGCAAGTGGTTGAGCAGCCTTAGCATATCATTAGCATATTATGCTTTATTGGTTGAACAGCCAACTGGACACTTAGCATATTAGGCTTTTATCATATAGGATAATACTGGAAGTTTTAGGCATAGCAATCAGACAAGAAGAAATAAAAGGCATCCAAATGGGAAAGGAGAAAGTAAAGCTATCGTTATTCACAAGTTACATGATTTGGTACCTAAAAATACTAAAGACTCCATCAAAAAATTATTAGATTTAATAAATGAATTTGGCAAGGTAGTAGGATACAAAATTAACACCTAGAAATCGTTGGCATTTTTACATACCAATAATGAACTCTCAGAGAAACTAAAAATCCTATATTCCATTGCAACAAAAAAATTAACATACTTAGGAATAAACTTAACCAAGAAGTTAATAAACCAGTGCTTGAAAAACTACAGGATGTTGAAAAAAAGATATAGAGGAAGATATAATCAAGTGGAAGAATATATCATATTCATGGATTGGTAGAATCAACATCATTAAAATGTCAATACTGCCCTAACTGGTTTGGCTCAGTGGCTAGAGCGTCGGCCTGTGGACTGAAGAGTCCCAGGTTTAATTCTGGTTAAGGGCATATACCTTGGTTTCGGGCACATCCCCAGTGGGGGGTGTGCAGAAGGCAGCTGATCGATGTTTCTCTCTCCTCAATGCTTCTAACTCTCCCTCTCTCTTCCTCTCTGTGAAAAATCAATAAAATATGTTTAAAAAATAAAATGTCAATACTACCCAAAGCAATCTATAGATTCAGTGCAATCCTATATAATAAAAGCCTAATATGCTAAGTGTCCAGTTGTCAAATCATCTATTCAACCAATCAAAGCATACTATGCTAATGATATGCTAAGGCCACTCAATAGCTCGCTATGATGTGCACTGACCACCATGGGGGCAGATAATTGACCACTCAATTGCTCACTGTGACATGCACTGACCACCAGCAGCAGGCAGACAATTGGCCAGTTGACCAGTTACTATGATGTGTTCTGACCACCACGGGGAAAACACTCTGACCAGTAGGTTAGCTTACTGCTGGGGCCCAGCCGATCAGGACTGAGCAAGATGGGCCAGACATGCCCTGGAGCCCTCCCATGATCCCTCCCTGGCTGGCCAATCTCCTGTGACCATGATCATGCACCGGTGGGGGTCCCTTGGCCTGGCCTGCACCCTCTCATAATCCAAGACCCCTCAGGGGATGTCGGAGAGCCAGTTTTGGCCTGATCCTGTAGCCAGGCTAAGGGACTCTACTAGTGCACCAGGCCTCTAGTCCCTAATAAAAGAACAACAGCATATTTTACACTTCTAGAACAAATGCTCCAAAAATGTATGTGGAACCAAATATGACCCCAAATAGGTACAACAATCTTGAGAAAGAACAGAATTGGAGGAATCACATTACCAGATAAGCAAGTTATACTACAGTATTTAGAACAGCCTGTGACTGGCATAAGAATAGGCATATAGATCAATGGAACAGAACACAGAACCCCGAAATCAATCCACGCCATTATATTTAACACATTAAGCCCCATGTCAGTCAGCAGTAACTGACACTATACTTTTTAAAGTATATATATTTTTTATTGATTTTTTTTTACAGAAAGGAAGGGAGAGGGATAGAAACATCAATGAGAGAAAATCA